CGGATGGCTGTGCAGAAGTGGGGGGGGGGGGGGGGGGGGAGTATGGGGGGTTAAAATTTTTACCCTTAAACACTTCAACACTCTCCTTCGGATCGTGTTTCACAAAAGGATCTTTCCAGAGAAGTGGATGGGTCTTCACGAATCATCATTATATCGCAATCAAATTGCTTATGAAGAATGCAAAACCCTTTTCGTAGAATAATAAACCCTTTGGTAGAATGCTAAACCCCTTTCGTAGAATAATAAACCCTTTGGTAGAATGCTAAAACCTTTTTCGTAGAATAATAAACCCTTTGGTAGAATGCTAAACCCCTTTCGTAGAATAATAAACCCTTTGGTAGAATGCTAAAACCCTTTGGTAGAATGCTAAACCGTTTCGTATGATAATAAACCCTTTTTTAGCAGTAGATAGAATAATAAACCCTTTCACGTTGCATACTAAACCCGTTTGTAGAACGCTAAACGCCTTCACGCAGAATAATAAACCTTATCCACCGAATACTGAACGTTAAATTAACTGTTCTGTAGTACTGAAGAAAAACAGGTAAACTTTTAATCGGATAATAATAAACCCTTGACAAGCATAGGTATAGAACGAAACACTTGTCGCACAATAATAAACGGTTTTGTTGAAGCAGTAGGTGAATCAACTCTTATGCGTACCGGAATATACCTTTCCAAAGAAAGTGCAGAAGAATCAACCCACAGAGGTAGAATATTGGTTTAATTATTCATATGAGGTTATGCTCTCTTCAAAGAAGTAGAATGATATACCCATCCGATCGAAAAATGCTATAATCAACCGAAAAACGAATAATGAAATACCCTTTTTCTGTACGTGTACAATGATTTACCCATTCGGGTTATACAAAATACTTTTATCTTGATAAAATACCCACCCACCACAATTATATACCCTTTAACTTTTAATAAACCTATATGTTGCGAAATGGTTCAGTTGCTCAACCCTAAAAGGATTGATAACTATGCTATAAACGCTTAAAAGGTTTATTGACAAAATTCTCAAGGGCAAGAGTAGATTATTATGCTGATTTTTTTTTCAGTGTAGCCCTGAGCAATCGAAGTTACAAGTACGGTGGTGTTAGCTATGGCGGAGCCACCTTGTTGAAGTGTTATCTACGTCATCCGTTCCTCACCTTCCCCTACCTTACCCAAGTGCTTCATCGTGGCCCTTCCTATATTTAGCAATCATTCTATGATCTTTCAATAAAGTTGAACAATCATTGCAAATATATTGCTGATGATACATATTAGGACTGAAAACTAAGAAAAAGGTCATCTGGGTGGACTTCACTGAGTCGCTATCTGACTGTTTTTAGTGATTTTCACATCATGTTGGCTCTCGTCGGGATTCAGCCAGTTAGCATAGCAAACTTAGCGGTCGCATAAATAAAAAAGGCTGATAATTGAGACAATCATCATCCGGTTGTTTTTTATCCAGATACTCTATCCCATTCTTAACCGTCCTATGGATTACAATTGAATCTTATTCTCTCTCTGACCTCCAACAATCATTCTAGAAAGTTCGGTGATGTTCGCTACTAGGTGGACTACTAACTGAAACAACAACCGTTCGGGTGAGATGTATCCCCAATAGATTCAACGTCACGCTGATCTTTCCCGGAACGTAAACAAATGTAGGGAAAAGGTTGATGGTGTTACTTAGTATGGGAACTAAGCAGACAGCAAATATGCAGCCAAAAAACAAACTTTTCTTCCGATATCTATAGAAATTCGCGGCGTTTGTCTGTAAATCAGCGTACGTGCAACCGATTGGATTCATCTTCGAATTCAATCAAGATATTGATCGGGCTAAACTCCGTAGAAAGTTTCACCTAAATCTGACTCTCGTCCAGAGTTATTGTGTGAACAGACGGACATACTGACCGATTCCCGCTGTGTACTTACTTTTGAAGTACACTAATAAATTTGATAAACTCTTTCGGAAGCTAAAACGATTCTGTTGCAGCATAAGTTCGGTGACAATTTTCCTCATTTTGTCAAAATATTACTAAATGAAAAGAAAAGTGATTCGAAATTTTATTCAGTGGAATTTCATGGGGGAATCTATATAAATTATTAGCTGAATTTTTATCTTAGATATACGCATGAATTGTCTAACTCCACAGCTCATACTATTCCGTCAATTCTTCCGCAAAATATTGTGCTTAAAATGCTACAATCCGCTGAATTATACAAAACCACGTTGGCTTCGATATGTCTCTCAATGGCTTGTGTTTTTCTCTATGAAGTAGCGGATTACTGGGAAGACGATATTGGCGTTTCGTACATGATGGCCAGTCAATCTGAGATATCCACGGTATCTAAGCTTATCGGTCCCTTCATGTGCAGTCAAACGCTGCGGATCCACCTGCAAAACGGTACTCATACGACGTTCGTGCAGCTAGTTAACTGGGTGCAAACTACTGTTACGAAGGGTCTCGAGCATGCGAAAGTTAGTGGAAACGATTTGGATACCACTACAGATGATGAATCTTCCTTGTTGTCCTCTTCGCCGGTCTTCTGTGCAGAATCAGACGTATATATACAATTCGATATAGAAGAAAATGACTGTATAGTGCTGGATAAAGTAGATGATGTGCAACTTCATGTGGTTCGAAACGAAAAAGATAACTTACCTCAACATGCATGGTGGCGCCAAGGATTTTGTCCTTTCTTAAATTTATTCTTTGATTACAATCCTAAAAGCAAACAGCTTAGTTATGCTATTATGTTTCCCACTATACGTTGTGAAGAGTCTACTGCAGTAAGTACGGCTGGATTTTTATAAGCGCCTTTGAAAGTACGGGATGTCTCATAAGTCCGTATGCAAAGTTTTCATTAATATCTCCTATACAATACAAGTAATTAAATTGGTTTTTTCATAGAATGATATTGGGTGATTCCATGGAGATCCATCCACTTTTTTTGGAAAGGTTTTTTTTCCGATTTTTTTCCCCTCAAAATGTCAGTATGCTCTAGAAAACACTTTTGATGGAAAAAAAATTGGGTCCTATATGCGAAAAACCCCGAGTTTTCTAGCGGTTTTTCGGAACACCTATGGAATATTTTTATATAGAGCCAAATGACGGAAAAACACGTAGAACTTCTTCAAAAAGTTTTTTTTCGGGATTTTTTAGTATTCATAAATATGAAATAAGTCTAGAAACGTGTTTCGTGAAAATAATTAGACCAGGCTTACTGAAAGTCATATGTGCTGAGTCATTTTCTATGAATATAACAACAGTCATGTTTTGTCAATTTGAGCTAGATTAAAGTAATTTGATGAAATTTTTGTCGTCTTTTCTTCGAGAAGTTATGAAAAGCAGATGACATTAGATTTTGTAAGGGACTTCTATCTCTGGTGATGAATTTCACACGAAAGAAATCTAGTTTAATGAGGAAAAGAGCTACTCAGATTTCTCAAATACTGAGTATCATCATCAAGTCTGACTTTAAAAAAATTTGATCGATTGAAAAAAAACACAGAAAGGAATTTTATTTAAACGTAAAAGTCCTTATCTGTGTTGAGCGAGATGTCGAACTATATTGAACCGTTGAATGGCTAATCGGCTTGAATTCATGCATACTGCGAATACCTTGTATTGTACCTAAATCGATACACACGTAAAAGACCAGAACAAAAAGTTTTTCTCACCTGTTAATCGAAGTTTTTCGCTCCTAGTTTTCAAGTAATTGTTCTTTACTTTTTCTACTTCATCCGATTCAAGATAGAAGACGTGTATAGCTGGAATATCTTTGTTGGATCTTCTTGCCGTTTCAAGTTGTTGTCTTTGAGAGAACTCATAAAAATCTTTTGCATTTGACATGAGAATGTTTTTGGAAAGTGTGTTACGTCTGGTGGTGGACTTGAGTACTGCACCAACTCCGTCACCAGCACCTTTTCCATGTCCTGTAGCAGTGAATGTCCAACAAGCATCTAAACCAAAATCGATTTTGTGATGAATCAGGTTCAAGATACTGGCATTATTCTTGAAATGAGCACATGCACCATCACTGAATGAAAGAAAAGAATTAGTGTAGCAAAGAAACTTCAAGAAAAATTTGATTTACCTCACATAATTGATCTTTTTTACTAATGGAAAACTTTTTTTGATGAAGTCCGTGAGAATTTTCTGTGCACAGTGCACAAACGCTGTTGTATGCTCCATATGATTACTGATGATTGCTAAATTTCGCTGTTCATTTCCAATGGTAAGATCTTTTGTGAATAAGCTGACTTGATGCAGACTAAAAAATCCTTGTTGAACTTCGCGTTGACGTATCAGTGTGTAATTCATTGAAAAATCTATTTGCGCCACCACAAACGTGTCGTTTGTGGATTTACTACGCAAGCCTTTAATGTATTCACGTTGTTCTCGATCGATATGTGTATGAAGCAAGAATAAAGGCCATCTTTCTTCAATTTCTGTTAATAGAGAATCAACTGAGCCAAACATCTGTTGAAGGTCGAACTTATTCTGAACTTTCTTCCATAGAGTCCAAGAGCATTCATCATCCAAATCCATCATAACGTTACCAGTGAGAATATCTGTGATACCTTGCGTTGGAAAATTGTCACATTCACCTTTAAAGCACTTCTCATTCGAGACCGTACAAACCATTTGAGTTATAAGATCCTTCATATTGATCTTGTTACTAGATGATAAAGAAACTACATTGGCACATTTCTAGTTGTAATTGTTCCAAGCCTACAATGAAGTTAAGTTGCATTCGGATCAATATACAACTAGCACAAACCTTCAATAGCAAATCCATATTTTCGTGGATGATCATATGCAAGTATCATGTGGTGTTGCAGTCTTTACTTCTCGTGGTCGAAGACTATTGAAAGTTGATCGTGCAACTAGTCCAGGATGTCGTTCATTAAATATTTGGTACGCACCCAAAACAGTCATTTCTAAGAATCGAACTGCTACAGATTGTCCGTTGATTTTGATTGTGTCTTTAGAATTCGATGAGGTTCGACTAATGCCATCTTCACAATAGAACTTCAGCACAGTGTCCACTGTTGAATCAGATAAAGGAATATTTCCTCGTAGACATTGTGGATAAGCTAGTATTCCATTGTTTTTTCGAAGAACAAGCGATCGTCGAGCCTGATTTGGCTTTGATTGAAACCTGATAAATGAAAGAAGTTTTTAGCAACATTTGATTAACAAATCCAAAGATATTGGAAGAAATGCAGATAAAATACGCACCATTTTTCTATTTTTTGTCGACCCCATTCTTTCGGAGCGATTGTCATCAAACGAACTTGTTCCTCTGGCTCACTATCAGCATATAACTTTTTTAAACCATCCAAAAGTTGGTTTGATTCACATATCCTTAGTCTATGAGGATTTGGATCACGCGAAATTTGAGACTTTTCATCTAACATGTCACATAATTGATTAAGTTTTCTATACACTTCATCGACTTTGGTTCGAATTGGTGATACTGCTGATCTAAATACAGATATCGTTTCGGCAAATTTATATCAAATTAAAAAACTAACCTGTCATGGATGGGATCTATGTTTAATAGTTTGAATATATTTGATAATTCCTCCATTGCTTTTTCTTTCTGGTGTTCGAGTTCGTAGACAGCATGACATGTATCTTCATCCATTGATTCAGGATCAGTTGTTCCATCAGCACATGGTGATTCATCATCATCATTTGACTCATCTATGATACCACTGTCCATATGAGGATTCTCTTTCTCTTCTACATTCAAATCATCAAATTCCACATTGACAGCATCATCATCTTTTTTCTGATCATTAACAGGAGAACTTTCTATCATGAATGCATCATCACTTGAACTTTCATCGTCGTTGAGCTCGCTCGATTGATGAGTCATCATTTTCTTCGATTCAGATGCATGACATGTTGGACATAACCAGCGAATTCGAGTGTCAGCCACATCATATTGAGCAATCAAAAAGTTTGATAGCTGTGATGACACAGCGACTACTCCTTTTGGTACACGTGCAGATTTTTCATGTTTTATTGGGTGTTCACAATATTTTCGTCTTGGCATTCGGATACAGTTTTGGAAAAAAAGAGATACAAGTGGATTCATTGATATTTTCTAATATCCAATGAATCATCTCGTAGTCTTATTCGTTTAAAGTCACGACATTTGTGGACAAGTTTTTACGTCTAAAGATGTCCTCAAAGAGAAATGGAAAATCTTCTATTTCGATAGTAAAGTCCCTTTCGACTCCGTGATTTCACTTCTGCAACACGGTTCGATGGTACATTTTTTGTCGTGATGAGAGCAAAATCATCAGGTCGATATCGTTCTAAGAGAGTAGTATCATGGAAGTTGTTATATTCGACGCGGAAGAGCATATAAAAGTTCTTCAAATTAAATGAATACACTTTAAATTGACGAAATGTGGCGGTTGTTGTGTTGTGAGAAAATGACTCAGGATTGAGGGCTCAGGCCTTTCAATGGGATCGGTTTAATATTTCTCGAGCAACACGTTTCTAGACTTATTTCATATTTATGAATACTAAAAAATCCCGAAAAAATACTTTTTGAAGAAGTTCTATGTGTTTTTCCGTCATTTTTTCGCTATATAAAAATATTCCATAGGTGTTCCGAAAAACCGCTAAAAAACTCGAGTTTTTTCGCATATAGGACCGAATTTTTTTTCATCAAAAGTGTTTTCTAGAGCATACTGACATTTTGAGGGGAAAAAATCGAAAAAAAAAACCTTTCCAAAAAAGTGGATGGGTCTCCATGGAGTCACCCATTACTATTTTGAAATAAACTAGTTCTACCACACTATACGGACTTAACAAAGATGAACACTGATTGTCTTATATCGTTGTCTTCCGCACGGTGCTTCTTTTCTTCATTTTTACTATTCGTTTTGTTTTGTTTTCTTACATATCCTCTCACGGAAGTTAAACTTTTAACCCGAAAATATTCCTTTTCCTTCTTTTTCTAGATATGATTAATGGGCCACTAGAAAAGGTCGAAATCTAGATCGTAGGATTCTACTATATAATACTCACCCTGAAAGGTTCGAAATCGATCATGATAGTAATATCTCACACCCACACCCTCAACGTTGAACAATTGTTTTGCAGGAAAAAACAATGAATTAATTCATTTTGCAATTATTGATCTTGAATGTTCTGCTTTATATACGCAATGCTTATTTGAAGTCTATTCAAATCATTTATATAATTAAATTATTAAAAACTACGTTGACAGTTATCATCACATAAACAATGACGAAAAAACCCACTATAAGGACTATAATGGTAAACACGAAGATAACGAAGACGAGAACACGTTGCACCCTCACGACGTATGAAATATTTGTAATACTCGTCTTTATCAAAGCGTACCCAATCGTCCATATCCCAACTTATACAGTTTTGTACCCATTTCCAACTTGCTGTATCTGTATAGTACCAATCACGACATTTTCCACATTTGGCACAAAGACGACCATTACAGTACAACTCTTTGGTAGTTCCAGTTGTCGCGAATTCTTGGTATTCTACATAAAATTTATAACTATTGGGTTGGTATGACATTTTTTGCGTTTTTTTCGAAAATTTCCTAGAACAGTCGGGAAAGTTCTAGAAGTTTCCATACTAAGGATATATAGGGGGTACGAATATCTTTCGGACAACAACAAAATTATGGACATGGATGTTGATCACGAATTAGAAATGAATATATCTCGCAGAGAGCTCCGACTGCTTCTGCTTCATGAATTCAGTTTGGGGCGCAAAGCAACGGAAGCAACAAGCAACATATGCAGCATGATGGGCAAGGATGTACTCTCCATCCGTACGGCGCAGCATTGGTTTCATCGGTTCAAGAACGGTAACTTCGAACTCGACGATTTACCTCACACTGGAAGACCGCTACAGGTGGATATGGATGTTTTTAAAGCAGCTTATTGAAGAAGATCCTCGATTGACTACGCGGTGTTTAGCAGAGCAACTTGGGTGCTCCCATATTACAGTGGAAACGCATCTGCATGAATTAGGCAAAACGTGGAAATA